TTTTTTTTTAATTCTTACCTGAGGATATTTTTTCCATTGCTTTTCAGAGAGAGTGGAAGGGGGGGTGGGCAGAAACATCAGTGTGAGAGAGACATCGATTGGTTGCCTCCCACATGCGCCTGGACTGGGGCTGGGGATTGAGCCTGCGACTGAGGTACGTGCCCTGAGCTGAAATTGAACCCGGAACCCTTCAATCCACAGGTAGACGCTCTAGCCACTGAGCCAAACCAGCCAGGGTGCCCTCCACTCTCCTTGAAATAGAAAAACAGTGACACCCGGTATCATGCTTCCTCCTGCTTTATTTCCCACAGAGCTGGTTTCTTCCATGATGACTCCAGGGTTCAGATTCTCAGGTCTGGGGCCTAATGTCAGGTGAGGCTTCACCCACACTACCCCTGGTGGCCAAACTCCCACCCACCACAGCGTGATGGAGCCTCTGGTGACTGGGGATGCTCTTATTCCCCGAAAGGAGAAATTCCAGGATGTGATGCACATGATCCCACAGCCTCAGGCTCCTCCCACCCCTGCCAAGCTGCTAAAGGGGACCCTGTTTCTCTGGACTGGAGAAGATGGCCATCGGCATGGGGCGGGGAGAAGACTACTCTTTGAATGAACGGTGGGGGGATGAAGGAGAGATTCTGCAGTTTGCACAGTCCTACCCTAGGAAACAACTTTTACCGCTATCCCACCCTCCCTCAGTGTTTCCTGGTATCTCTATCCCAGACCGTAAAGGAGTCACTCAGCTCCTCTTTTCAGTCTCCATCCCATGTCAGCCCCCTTCGGTCTACTTGGTCACTGATTCCTGACTCCACCCAGTGATTCCCCATATTGTGACTTCTCGATCAACCTCACTTCAAACGCTCTGCGGCCCACAGGACTCTCCAATGCCAGCCACACTTGGGGCAGAAGGAGGCTCCAACTCCACCGTAGCCTCCTTTCCCAAGGTCTTTCTCCAAGCTCCTTCCGAAGTCAGCCTCAGCCCACACCTCACTAGAGGGGAATCCCGGCCCCCTCAGGGCCCGTGCAGCCTCTCTTCTCCTGCGTGCTGAGGATTCGCAGTAGGATATTGTATACATCTTGTTCCATGTAGCCCTGTGGGTGGCAGGAAAGAGATAAAGGGAGGTGAAGAGCAGAAAATGGAGTGAGATGGGTGAGGGAGAGGCCGTTTGCTAACTATGAGCCCTCACTTAAACAGTGTTTAACTTCTCCATGGATGTTGCCTAATCTTTCCAAGGAAGATAATGCTGTTTACTTTTCAGGATTGCTCTGAGGGTTACAGCTCTGAATCGGAAAGAAGGCGCCTGGTACAATAAGTGTTAGATTCTTTATAGTTAGTATTACTCCTAATAAAGGAGCAAGATAAGCTGGCATAGGAGGGGACTGAGAAAGGGCATAAAGGACAGGAAAAGGCCTTACAGTGGATCAGGGAACTGAAAGGAAGGACAAACACCTCTCCCCCCTCACCTTCACACACAATTTCTCTTGATCTACCTCGGGAGATCCAGAGACCTGGCACTGGAACATCTAAAGTCTAGCTTTCCGAGCAATGACAAATGCACGCAGGCAAGAAAAGGGACCCCAAATGCAATACCCCCTCCCAACTCTCTGTCTCTCCCTGCCCCCATGCTCACCTGAGCAGCATTCAGCAGATGGTTTCTATAGGTAGAGATGATCTCTTCATGGTTCTTCTGAGAATCCTGGGAGTGAGCATCAGCGGGAGGTTATGTGCCTACCCTCCCATACTCACCCGGATCCCCCAAACATGAGGAACAATACTATTAAGTGGTCAGCTGGGCCATTGCTAGCCCAGCCTGGACCCTGCCTGCACAGGTCTCTGTAATTCCCAGGCTCTCTCCCACATCTCTTCCGCTGCCCACTCTCTTCTCTAGCTGTGTCCATTTCCCTAAGGGCCAAAACACACCTGCAGCTTCGAGGCAAGGCGGGCATTTTCTCCCCGAGCTGCTAGGACTTCCTCTGAAAGCTGTTCCAGCTTCTTCAACAACTCCTTGATCTAAGGCCAAAGGGAAAGAAAGGAAACAAGCGAGGGCCAGGTCATTCCCACCTCACACCACCCAAGGTCAAGGTCAACTTCCTTTTACTGAGTACGTAATATGTGCCAGATACTTTTTCACACCTTGTCTCATTTAATACTCAAAGCACCTCCACGTTCTGAGAAGAGCGATACTTCTCTGAAGAAAGTATTATTATTCACATTTTGTTAAGTAATTTGTCAAAATCATACAGCTAATAAGTGATGACATATGACTTGAACCAAAATCTCTTTGAATTAATGGTCCATGCTCTTAACTCTGCACTGGATCCTAAACTACTTCTGGCTGCTGACCACCGAGCGAAATGGAGATGAGTTTTGTGGTTTGTGAGGCTAAGGCACAAATGTGGTTAATGGTAACCAGCAGTAATAGGAATGGTGGGAGTAAGAGTAATAAAAATAATTGATTACTTACCATTTTCAAAAAATTATTCTGAGTATTTTAAATATACTATCTTTAATGGAATCCTCATAGCAACCCTATTATTAGCCTCATCTTATATATGAAAAAATTGAGGCAGGCTTCAAGAATTGGAGGCTTGGATAACTCAAGTTCAATCAGTAAGTTTTGAAACTGAAATCAAAATCCAGACGATCTCAGTCCAACATACACTGCACTATTTTCTTTCCTCTTCTCCTTCAACACCAACAGAAATCCTGCCTTCCCACCCCATGCCAATTCTTATTCTGTATAACTTTTCTTCTATTTCATGCACTCTACATTATGTCAAACATATGCTTCCTATATTTTTGAATCATTATAAATTTGATCCTGTACATGAATTTGAATAAGTCTGAATTCACTTTACAGGTAAAGTTCTAGAATTACTAAATTCCTTTGTAAACTGATTTTTTTTAGAATTCATAAAACATGCCCCTAGAAGCATGTAGACTTACACTCACTTTTGGAGCAATCATTAGGAAACTCGAGCATCTACCACGGTGGTTTTCAAACTTTTTTCTTTGCATTGGTGCTCTCTTTGCCAATGGAAATTTTTTGTAGAAACTACTCTGATTGAAGCAGAAGGGAGAAGCGGACCTGTAGCCTAGCTGCCTCCTGCACGCCCCCTGCTGGGGATGGAGCTCTCAGTGGCATGTGGCCTGGCTGGGAATCCAACGTGATCTCCTGGATCCTGTCAGATCTCCTGGATCACAGGTCAATACTCAACCGCTGAGCCACGCCCCGGCTCCTCTGCTTTTCTTAATGGGCCTTTGAGTCACCTCAGAACCACAGCAAAACCACAGCAACCCACCGTATTATCAGATTTGTTCTGAGGCTAATACATGATTTAAGTCAAAAGGCTAATAAATCATAGTACTCCACAGGTGGTAGCCCTGACCACACAATCCCAAACTTTAATACCTGAGCCCCTTTCTACCTTCTACTTACACCTCACCTCCGAGCTGACCCCCAAACCGCCTTAGACCCAGAGGGCAGAGTGTGGTCCTTTCCCGTGACTGGTGTTCTGTGGGGGGTACTGATCTGACTAACCAAAGGAAGATGCAGGTGAGACACCCCGCAGAAACCTTCCCCACTGCTCCCCACCGCCGCCCCAGCTGATCACCTTGGCCTCCTTGTCCTGGCAAGCCCCCCAGAGACGCTCCACCTTCTGCGTCAGCTGCCCCACTGTCCTCTCCGACTGCTCCGAGCGCCCGCGCATCTCGCTGGCCTGGCGCTCCTGCTC